CTTTGTAAATATACATTTATCATTACAATATTTAATTTAAACATCGAGAATACCTGAACGAGCTAAAAGGTCACTACCCAGGATTTTGTCATCCAAGTACGCTGAAGTTGTAAATAACCTTTAGTATAAAGTTCTTCTTCTTTTATACTAACTACGCCACCTAGTCTCAAAGTAGGAAATTTCCTATAAGTATTCCAGAGTAACGGAATACGCTCTGGGGCACTCACAGAACACCCAGACCAAAACCAATTCTGAAAAGTTCGTTTCCAAATAAGTTCTACCCGGAATTGAACCCGGGACCTCCTCATCCAACACCCATCGTGCAAGCTGTTAGGTCACTAAGATTGTAATTTGTTTATTTTGTTAACAAAACCGTTCATTGGATTGCTGTTTGAGATCCGACCGTATTTATGACAGTGGCGCAGTTCGCCCGGGGGTGGTGAAGTTGTCAATGCAATTTATGATATGTTTTTCTGCGCTTTGCATTGCTAAATTCGCTTAGAAATGTGTATTCCACAATTACATGTAGTGAGCTACAAAATTGTTTATTTAGCGTCACAGAATTTCTCTACTTTGCTAAAGACTATTTTAATCTTTATACTTGATTGTTAATTAACTGTTTGTTATAACAAACTAGTGGAGAAATTTCACAAAATATATTGAATGATAAAACACCCTGACATAAAATAGAACTCCGACATTTGTGAACCGATTTTGATGATTCTTTTTTGTTTGAATAGGGTTACCTCCATTTTGGTCCCATTTAAATTTGAAGGATGTAAAACTAGGGGCTGAATCTGGTTTCGCGCACTTTCCGTAAACCAATTCCAATAAAAAAGCCGAAAAGCAAACTTATGAAGTCGGTTTTTTTTAAATAAAATGTCGTTACAAAGTTATGATTATTGGAGAAAGAAGAGTAACTTATTTATTCGTTTTGTTTAGTAAAGTACTCATACTTTTTACACTGTACCTATTTCTGCAGCCAAGCAATAATGTGAGTATTACCGGGTTCCAGTTTTAAAGGGTACTGCTGTATTGGGTGCTGGTGGGATCATAGAGATTTAAAGCAGGAGCTGTAGCAATTGATGCAGACAGGCGTGTCGCATACTATCAAGCGCACTTGTTCATTCCTTCACATGATATCATAAAAAAATTAGACATTGTGCGCCCGACTTGAGTAAGAAATGTGAATCAAATTGCATTTTTAGGGTTTATACAACAAATGTTTCTGATTTCTAGTAAATGCCTATTCATTCTAACCTTAAATAGCCGTAAAGTGGTTTCTGTGCGAGAAATGAACCTGATTCCTATTATATCTTGTGAGTTATATCAACTATTGTTCCGATTAGAAATGTCAAAAGTTTCCGATCGGCCAGTTGTGAATCGCAATTATGCGCCTCGACTCGGAAGAGACGCAGTTTCCAGCAGCAGCAGTTTCGGGAGAGGCAATCAAAATCAAGCTGCTTAGACGGCGCAAGAGCGATGCACCACGATGCGTTTCGTCGTCGTTGCGAAGCCAATTTTATGTATGGAGCTTCATTCACATCAAGCGTGTTTTGATTTCATCGAGTATTACTTATTTGACAGTAATTATTTAGGACGGATGTCAGACGAAGAACGAAGAACTTGAGGACAGATCCTGTGCGGTGACGCTGCGTTGTACTGTAGTCGTCATAATTTAAAAGGCCTTTGACAACTAAAGAAGACAATAGTAGGTACCTACGTAACTTTGAATGCAATCAACGAACAGTCAACAAACAATTATTAACTTATTTTTAAAAATGCATTAATTTTAGTAAGCATTATACTTATAACATAATAGAACCAATTTCAAGTATTACTTTCGCACGAATTTAAATTTTGAGTTAGTCCAAAACATCTCAAAAACAGTTACGTCCTCCGTCAATTATTTATCTAAATAATAACAGTTTTGTAACCAGTTAATCGCCAAACTTCACCGAGTCACTTCAATTTCACTTATAAAAATATATTGACTTTTTAATTTTGATTTTCACAGAGATGTTAACATAATGATATGATGACTATACATATAAATTAGAACTACATGCCACATGTTGCGTTGAAACGACGACACTGCAACCCACCGGTAACACCCGTGTGGCATCGCTTTTAGGAAGGACGAAGCAAAGTTCTTTGTTTACGACATACCTATGTTAATCTCCCATGTCTTGTAACCTTAGTAAGTCTTCGGATGTCAGGATTCAATCTACAAATAAGATGCTGGAAATGACACGCCCAATGGCTCTCTGCGTAACTCCCATTCGGTACACAGCCTTCTATGCGAGTGAGGTCTCCATGGGCCAAGCCTGGAGGACACATTCGTGATAAAAATATCAAAAAATTGCCATGATATTAAATTATTATTGTGAAATTACTTCAATAGTATGTTATAATTATTAATACAAAGATCGTATACGAAGAAAAGTTCCTTCGATCCTGCTGGACACGAACCAGCGACCTTGCAATACCGCGGCTGACGCTATCCCAATTGATCTACGGAACGAACTAGCGGACCTTACGAATTTTTCTATGTGCTTGTTGCTGTTCTTTGTTTTTGGTTAAACGACTTTTACGCCGTAACGCCATCTGTGAGAAACCTATGAAAGCTTTTCTACTTTGTGCGTTATGTTTCTAATTACGTAATATGTTGACATTGCAGGTAGGTACACGCCCCTCCTGTTAAATATTCGGTAGTCTCTTTACATAATAATAATTCGTTTTGTGGTATGAAATTGAAGTTTAATTACTTTCGCTGTATAGTTTTTACTAGTTTTAACTTGCGGCTTTTGTCACACACTTAAACGGATTTTAAAATATCTCAAATAGTATCAATTTATGAACTTAAACTTGATGTACACTAAAGAGTATGACAAACTTGACGCTTTGGATTTTTAACCTTTCTTATAGTAAGCGATATACAGCGGAATTTAAATCTTAAATGTCAAATTGACAAAAATCTTGTGTACCTAGGCGGGCGCTTGGAACTAATCAATTAAATTACCTCATAACCATTGCAAACAAGCAAGTTTGCGAAAAGTCCAGCGCATGCCGCAACCAACCGCAGGAGATCTTGATCGCTGTCAAGTTATAAAAGAACCCGCTGCCCTCTCAAAAAAAAGAGGAGGATCTATCAATTCGTCTGTTTTTTTTGTATGTATGTTACGCGATAACTCTAAATTTGTAAATGGATTTGGATGACTCTTTTTTGTTGGAAAGAGGGTACCTCAGTAGTGGGCTCATTTAAATTTGAAGAAAATATCCTGGGTGGCAAACTAGGGGATGAATCCGTTTTCGCCCATTTTCCAGTAACCGATTTCAATAAAACTTTGCAAATGGTTGTAATTCCACCAACTTTTGGGGTCGGTTTTTTTTAGACTCTGTACTGATTTTATCATTTCATCATTTATGTTTAAACTTTTGTTGCTGTCCTACCAACGAAATGGTAGGTACAGTCAAGAGCACGTCAAAATTGACATTTTGTACTTTGGACTATTCTTACTGTAAGTGACATAGAGATGCATTTGAATCTTAAGTGTACCTACGCTAAAGCAAGTGTGTAAGCGAGAACATTATTTGGAAATCGAATGTGATTCTTATATTTCATAATTTGGTGCTTATTCAACAAGTATGATAAGTTTCCGTAGTTCATTATCTGCCTGAAAAGAAAACTAGGTCAGAGAAAACTACTGAAGAAAAAAACAACGGATGTGTCTTGAAGGCTTAAAGTTTAAGGCGATTACTATCGGAACCGCTATGCCCAAAACGCACCCAAACAAATGATAATAATACTACGAAATCTTGATAATGATTGGTCGTAGTTTCTAATTTAAAAAGATGTAACAAATTCTGAATTGTTAATATAATTTAAACTTTACCCAGTCGCTATATCGTTGAAAATTCAATACCTTTGTTGCAAGTTACGACGTTTTGATTTGTATTGAAATTTTATTCAACGTGCTGCCATCTTGCGGTCAGTAGCTGGACTACTAACACAATGGACTGGACAATTAACGTCTGAATCATTTCGACAGACAGAAAATTGAAAATTTATTAAAATAATACTTACCGATGACATGAAATACTACTACAGGTAAAATTTTTGGTGTGGCTATCATTTCTGCACTCCAACATATCACAATTAGGCATTTTTCTGCGATTTTAGAGAATATGCGCGAAAGAATGACACAACAATACTTACGCAGAAGCTGTAAATAACCTTTAGCATAAAGTTTTTGTTTCACTATAGTTTTGAACCTCGTTAATGGCAAATTTTGAGTATAACCCGGAATCTTATTAAAGCAGCGTTATACATTGCCCCTTATGAATGAAAGTGTCATTGTAAAGTTTTTTTTTAAGTAAGAATGATCCCAAAGTAAGTAGATTGTATTATAAAAATCCGAAACAACGACGGTACCACATACACCCAGACCCGAGACAATATGGAAAAGTTGGTTTTTCTGCATTGACCAGCCGAGGATCGAACCTGGAACCTAATTGATGGAGATACCATGAAAAAAACCGGTGTGCAAGACTACGAAGGTCGTAAAAAGTAAGGTAGTCTGTATTTGTTTCCTTTCTTTTGCCAAGGTTTTAAGTGCTATTTTTATGTTTTGCATCTGCTATATTTAAAATTTACATATTTCTTTAATTTGCGTTTAATTTTTGTTAAAGTCTTATTTTGTTAGAGCCCATAAGAATGATTTCTTTATAAACAAATAAATCAGTCAGAAAAACATGGAGGGCGCTACACAAATAGAAGCAAAGAATTGAAAGAAGATAGTCAACAGTTTCGAATAAAAATACGTCCGTACAAACATTCTCAAAAAGTTTCATGTTTAAAAAATCAAACTTGCTCTCTGATATCTGTACAGGGTAATAAAAATAACAATTGAAGTTTTTAACAACCATATCAAATAACCTGATAGTTATTGTGCTTGTTCATAGATTCACGTTATGAACACACTATGAATTACACAACCATCACGGCTTTTATTGCAGTAAGACTTAATTTATGATTTTTAAGATTTTTTTATTTAAAATGTTTTACGTGAAAGAAATAAAAATTGCTTCGATCTTCAAAAAAAATATCGGCCATTCTCACCTTCAGTGTTCTCAGTCTATTTACCTTAGCCATTTCGGTGTCTTCAGCCTAATTACCTTGGCCATTGCTTATTCTCGCTTAATATATCCAATAACATAGAAATATGAACAACTTTAAGCTTAACTATCAATATGTCTAAATGGCATTAGAATAGACAAAGTAGTTTTCGAATTATTAAGAAATACTTAAAAGTGTTTGAACTTTCTAATTACCATATCCACGGCTACGGTAATTAGATCTAATTACAGTTTCCATAAAATATTCCTGTCTTAATAACTCGAAAACTACTTCGTCTATTCTAATGCCATTTAGACATATTTATAGTTAATATAGGCTGAGGACACCGAAATGGCTACGGTAATTAGGCTGGGAACACGGAATGTGAGAATGGCCGATATAGCGACAATAAAGTTAATAAAGTTCTTTGAAGGTGGGTATTTTGTTACGTAATATATCTAATACGCAAGCATCGTAATCTCACTATCTAAAAAATGACAAGATGGCCGAAGATGTTAGTCTAGATAATATTTATTAAGTCTCACCTAAAAAAGGTTCAAGTCGTAAATTTCAGGAAAACGCATTACATGAAATATGTAATAATAATATTTTATTGTTAAATAAATAACAGTATTGTTTTTTTTTTTCAGTTACTTTATACTTCATGCTTAACGTTTGCAAAATTATTAACGATCGATTTACATTCAGATGTAATGAACAAGTCCATGCCAATATTCCAAGGTATAAACTTCAATGAAACTGAAAATGACAACAGTGGTACTTTAAATGAAACTGAAACCGATAATGAAAGTCATGTAATCATGACTGAAGCAGATGATGTAACTACTGTCATACCTGATGAAGAAGAAATTAAAGCGAATTCAAAAGCCATTTTCCGTCGTGAACCTATAGTTATTAAAACAGTGACAAACAACGTAACTTTAGACAATATAAAAACGGTTAACTTAAGTGTGGGTATCAAACATATAAATCAGATGACTACGGATGTAGTATCACAACCACAATACCTGTCAAAAGGTACAACTTCAGTTCAAACTGATCAAACGATAAAATCACATCTTGTTACTGAAGGGGCTACTTCTAAATCATTACCTAAACTTCTGTTATTTGGAAAAGGAATTAATAAACAACCCCGGAATCAAACAATTGATTCTGATACAATATATGTACCAACATTCGATATTAAAATAAGCAATGAAACTGATAAAACAGATCACAGAGCACGCAACCGTGCGCTCGAAGCTGTCAGATTCAAAACAGGTATTAAGACAATAAGTGTTCCTCATGTACACTATGCACCAGTTGACATAGCGTTTAGAGCACAACTTTCCCACTCTGAGGTGATACCTGCCAAACTAAAACTCAATCGTTCATATGGACCAATTGCTACACGAACAACATTAATACCATCACAAATCTCTAATACCGACACAAAACAAAATAACGCAATGAAATTGAAATGGAAAAATTGGAATAAAAAATTTAAGTTTCCTAAAAAGGTAAACAATACTCTTAAAAAGAATCGGAATATTAACACAGACAACGTAACCACTATTGGAAACTCACAGAACTATTTAAAAAATATTTACTTGGATGTAATAGATTTAAAAAATTCTACTGAGTCGACTATAACAAAAAGTAATAAATACGATGACAAAAAGAAAGGGTTAAGAGTTAAGCGCGATCTTCCTGAAAGCACAACAGAGAAAGTAGTAACAATCGAGGGAAAAAAAGAGACCACAAACTTGAACGTAACACGTAATAGTTTTATAAGAAATTTAAATAATATTTTATCTAAGAACTTGAGTGTGGCCGTACATGAAGTATTTGATGAGCTTAACATGGTTGCACTTACACCTCCTGACAATAAGTTTCCGGGATCTAATTTGCTTTTCAAGATACCAAGTAAGTATCTGTAAAGTACGTTTATGGATAATAAACCAAATTATAATTGCATGCCATTACACTGTATTTTAGGACAAGACTATATTATTATAACGATACATCCGATTTCGAGATTCTCAAGTACTTCCTCGGAAATACAATTTTCCACTTACTTTAGTAATAATCATTCTCGTGTTTGGCATAAGTTGGGTAACAGTTTTTGTTTTATTTATTTTTTTTCAACAGAAGACAAAGTGACTGAAATACCATCGACAAGAGGTTTCCTTATGAACATGATGAATAAAAAACTTTCAAGCAGTGTGGTGCCAGAAATAAATAGAAACAATACCTTAAGCTATACCGGAAAAAATATCTTAGGATTATTTTTGCCAGCTCTCAAAAGGGCATTTGGAAAAATTAATCTCTGATACTAACTTTACAATTTCTTCATTTATTATACATTTTTATGGAACATTAATTTCTATTTATTTGTTATTTTTACATTTAACTTGTTCCATATTATGAACAACACCTTTCACATTCTTTATCATTTTAAACACCATATGATGCAAAACAAAGTACTGTAGTTAGTAAAGATGGATGATGGTGGACAGGATAGGATACATGTCCGGCTTAAAGCTGGAATTAAATGGATCAACGACCTGGAGAATTGTGAAGAAGCGTTTAATATAGGCGGTCAACACAAGCTTTAGTAGTTAATGAAGAAAAAAGTTTTACGATCATCTACAAGCTTGAGAGTGTATACGAAATCTTATTATCTTCAAATCGTTTAATAGCAGTAAAGAGTTCGTCCAAAGAAGTACTGCCACCTTATTTATGTGTGCCGCCAAGCATTGATGGCACCATTACTGCGCTCCGGTTTTAGGGTGTTAGTGAAATTACAGGCACATGAGACTTGTCAACCTATATCTCAGGGTGACAGGCGCAGTGGCAGAGCCCCTCAGATCTTTGCGTTTTAAAGCTCTGAGTGGCACTGCAACTGTTATGGACACGCGTGTCGCTTACCACCAGACCCACGTGTTGGTCGTTCCGTCAGAAGGTATTAACTGTCGTTAGGTTGTAAATAATGACAAGTTGGATCGCAATTTTGGTGAATTTTAAAGCAACAGTGTTTTTTCAACTGACTACGGTCATATAGGGTGTTAAAGTATGTTTTCAAAATTTATATACATATGTCATTGACTTACAAATAAATGGACGACGGGTCTAATACAAAGACCACGAAAAAAATGTCCCAAGTCAACCTATTTAAACGTAGTGACATGTAAAGGAATATGAAAAAGCTATAACGTTGAATTTAAATTGTAATGTCATCGCAGTACTGTCTAATTTTGCTTGCTTCGCTGTCAGTCGAACAAACGAAGACTAAAGCGTGAATGACGCTCTGTATACGATTTTAACACCCTATAAATTCGGACACTTTTTAGCGCGGACCCGACGTCCTATAATTGTAAGTCAATGACATATGTAGTAATGTAATTAGTTCTTTGTTCCAGATTTAGATGACAAAATGATACAAAAATTAAAGTAGAAAAAATGAAGCCGAAACTTGTGCCAAAAATTTTAGGAAAAATATTAACTAATCTGTTTGAAACTATCAGTGGCTATCAGGGGAACGGAGACAGTTCAGATACTTATTATGATACGATGGACGTAACAGTCAAAAAATATGTTTCACTTGTTTCGCAGTACAAATAATAACTCCGATAATATTGACAGTCTAAAATTGCTACATTATTTGTATACCCATACCCCTAATGGTGAAAACATATATGACGAATGCGCCTGTTAGCGAAATACTTGCGAGCTACAGACATGAATTTCGTAGTGCGGTACTGGCTCCCAGTATTCGCATCCCACCTCACTGCAGAGCTCATCCGTTCAGTTTTTTGAAAACTGCTGGACGCATATTTCGAACCAATATTTCAGCTCTGAAACTATACTGTTTATTTCAATTTTTATTGAATTGGTATTCAATTATTTTCTTGTATATTAATAATTATAATATACTGTTTATTTTTTGTAAACCGTAGTCTGCCACTGAGGTCGTTGTCTTCTTCTCTTTTTCTTTATTGCTAAAAGTGTTAATAACATAATTCATGCTTCAGCAATAACGAGATCATACATAAATAAATTATTATAAATTATTATTAGTAGCCTTATTTAATAAACGAAATTTCTAAAGAAATATCTTTAAATTGTAAAAACATCAAACCTAAATTTAATAATACCTTTTTAGAAAAAAACAGAAAATTAATACGAATATGAACTAAATAATTATTATAACTATCTAATTTTAACCTATCTACATGGGTACTTACTTTAAATTTAATATTAATGTTCACGACCATTTATTAGAATAGACTCGTGTTCAGCTGTGGGATGTACATACAAGGATCCAGGTTTAGTGACACCCTTTATTAACGACTCTCACGCACACTAAGAGGAATGTCAACGAACATCAGTACAAACGCACACACTACACATAGAATTATATTTGTACGACGACGAATGAGATGTTTTGTTTTTTAGTGCTTTAAGTGTAATAAATACGTAAATAAAAAATACGGACATCTTAAAGCAATTTTACATTTGAGGCACACTTAACGCACTTAACTGCACGCGTGCAGTGCGCGAGCAGTGCACATGCGCACAGACCTATACCCACCCTAATATCTCCCATTTTATTATTTCCTTGTCACATACACGGTGAAACAAATCGATCGATAATAAACAGCTGTCGTATTTAAATAAGAGAGTCATCGCCATCCCGCTAAGCGAATACAGTGATTTGCATACTCACCGTGCTCACCGTATTCTATTTTACATGTCAAAACTGCCGTTTCACACAGAACTGAGTTCTAAACTAGCGATACAAAGACTTGCGTTAACTGTAAGCACACAATAGCTCTAGTTACGTCATAGACATAAAGGACTTTAAGCTATAGTCACCACATATTTAGTAGCAGTAGATCTCCGTGTGAAAGAGCTTTTCCAGGGAAGTACTGCCACCTTACCTATTTCTGCCGCCAGGCAGTAATGTCAGCATTACTGTGTTCCGGTTTTGAACGGTAAGGGTGCTGGTGAAATTACAGGCACATGGCACTTATCAACTTATGTCTCAGGGTGACGGGCGCAGTGGCAGTGCCCCTCAGATCTTTGCGTTCGTGTGTGCGTATAGTTTATATAATATACAGGGTGAACATTTGAGACGCGTGAGAAGGTTTTTGCGATTTCTGACATTTCTACTACTCTTAGTACGTCAGTTGGTCCTATAGAGAGTTTTGACCCTTATCACAAGTAAGATCGAATGGCATTTATAAACAGTTTCGTGAAAATTCCCTTTTATCTTGCTGACTGTAACATTTTTTCAAAATCTATGAATCATCATCATCATTTAAGCCGAAAGCTCACTGCTGGACGTTGGCTTTCCCCAAATGTAGATAACAATCGGTCTTGCGCTGCTTACACTGAGCGAATTCCTGCGACCTTCACCATATATGTGGTAGTCGGTAGTCTTCCAGAACGCGTTCGCCGCCGAGATAACGCCAAATCTATTTTCAAATATTCATGGACACTCTTCTAATATCATTTTACTGTAGCTATGACAGTTACGGTGTCCTTGCTGACTTGTCTCAAATTTCCACCCTGTATAATAATAAAAATAAATACAAAGTAAATCAATAACGTTAATAACGCATTATATTGTTTCTAATGCCACTTTACCTAAATGCCTTTACAGCCTCTAACTCGTTAGCGAATCTCTAAAAGTACATATCTAAAAGGCAAAACTATTGAATAAAGTCGAGTTCTCAAAACGTTAAAGTTCTGCTAAGCTCCACCAGGAGTTAGGCGTAGAGCGGCCAAGTTGGAGAATTTTTAAACATTTTATTTTTTAAATCACGTCGTTTCAACCCCCGATAGGTATTAGGTTAAAGCCTCCGGAGTTTCAAACTTTGATAATGGCTGTTTGACTAAATTAAGATGTATGCTCCTTTTGTGGATGTCCTGTACTTATATTATTGTATTATAACACACAAGAATTTATTGGCAAACTCGTATGTTGTGTGTTTTTATTGAATGTCAGGATGCTTCAACATGATAAAAAATTTTTGCAAAATTAGTGCACTAGTTTGTTATACGTATTAATACACAGACCGAACACTAACAAAAAACCTTCGTTCCGGCTGGATTCGAACCTGCGTCTTACAGAAAACTGTGCTGGAGACTATGCCAACTAAGCCACCACGGAACGAACGGACATACCTTACGAATATTTCTTTGTGCTTGTTGCAATCTTTGTTTTTGGTTTTTAACGACTTTTTTGCCGTAGCGCCATCTGTGACAAATTTATTTCTTCACTCGGCCATGTTCTGTGTTATTTTACTGTTTTAACATTCTTACACTAGCGTCACAGTACATTTATGAAAATTTAATTTATGTTAGAAAAATATAAACTTTTTTTATAAAAATAATGAATGAAAGAGATATTTTTTATTGTAAATTAAGAATTACAATGACAATACTAAATAGTAGTGTAAGTGTCACAGAGTAAGCTAAAGTACAAGAAGCCTTGTTGCTGCGCGGCCTTATTGCTAAGTAGCCATTTCTTCCAGATAATATTAGTATTGAAATTTGGATAGAAAAATAGAAATAGACTGGGTGTTCTTGGCAGTCATCACAAAGTCATCTGAGGAGCAATATATATGCTTCTATTTTAGTCGCAGTAGCGTTCCTTGTGAAAGAGTTCGACCAGGGAAGTACTGCCACCTTACTTGTTTCTGCCGCCATCCAAATGTGAGCATTACTGCGTTCCGGTTTTGAAGGTCTTACCCAAGTGTGACGATGCGACCTCCACCATCGTTACTCCACCTTTTTGTCACCTGTTCTCTAGTTCCTGGCCACTTATTTTTAAATTTTGAATCGTTCTTTAATTCCTTTGCCTCGTCATTCTTACTTTGTTTCGTCCCGTCGTCACTCTGTGCTTAATCTCTGAAGCGAGCACTCCTGCTCGTCTTCACCGTTAATTTTGATCCGTTTACCGGTTTCCATTTGAAATCATATGCCTATTTAATACCACTAAAATGTAGTAATATTTGTAAAATACGAGGTAAGCGCACCGTTTCACAATTTATAGTATTTAAGTAGGTAGTGTTTTTTTACATTGTACCTGCTTTTTATACCATTTTTTTTATACAGCCTTTTTTTTCACCTTTATTATATATATTTATGTGACCAAGTAATCTGTTTTATTGCTCTCTATTCTATCTAAACCGATATGTTTACAACCTTTTTAAGGGTGCTAGTAAAATTACAGGAGTAGGAGTAGGAGTTCACGACATCTCAAGCCGGGGCTGGTAGCTGTAAAGGTATCTAACTGGGTGACGAAATACTTTCATAGATTTCACATAGATGGCGCTACGGCTAAAAAGTCGTTGAAAAATCAAATACGAAGATACGACAACAAGTACAAAGAAAAATTCGTGACGTCTGTTGACTCTTTCCGTGGCTTAGTTAGCATAGCGTCTGGCACGGTTTGCTAGAAGACGTCGGTTCGAATTTGGCCGGATTGAAAGATTTTTCGAAAGTGTTCGATCTTTGTAATAATAATTATAACACAAAGTGGCGGCGCCCCTCCGATCTTTGCGTTTTAAAGCTCTGAGTGACACTGCAACTGGCATGGATAGGCGTGCCAATCAGGACCAGGCGCAAGACTTATTCGTCCCATCATGGTTTCGCGTAGGTATATTTGTTTTTTCAATCAAAATATAGACATAATAAATTGATGACTACCATCTCAGTTACCCATGACCATGGGACCTGCAAAGCCCGAAAAGTTAGTATGTTTGAAACATTTAGATAGGAAAAACAATTTCATTTCGGATATGAAAGTCGAGTAATAAAAATTCCCAAACTACAGAGGCAGTCTGTGTTTTGAGAAAACCTAAAAATATGCCAGACTTTTCCCGTTTCCCGACAGATGTCCTTTCCCAATACAGAAACAGATAGTGTCATTGTACGAATACAGACAGACATGCGCTTAGCTTTTAGGAAAATATCGGAAACGCTTTGAATAGCGGAAAAAAAGTTGCTTTTGACGAGTGTCGTTTTATCAGCTTCACAAAAAATATACATTTCCGGTTTTGGCGGCGTTCGAAAGGCTTTTCATTTGTATGCAGATAGTTTTGAATTTTTGTATAAGCTTTTCAGGTACTCAATACTCAATTATTTATAAAAATCGTGATGATAACAATAATGAAGTGCCAGAATCACACGTAATATGAGTACTAGAGCAACATATTACTTCCCAGAACATTTAAAAAAGTTCGTTTGTTCAAATTGGTTCTACCGGGAACAGAATCCAGGACCTCCGCACCGAGCTCCCGCTGAGCCACACACGCCGTTAAATAAACTAAACTGACTATCAATTTCGATGATAATAATTCTTACCTAATTGATTTATCTACACTATTCGACCTGATGGTCGAGCAATTGGAATCCCGCCACAATGAAAATTTTAATTCATTTGTGGTAAGAGTACCAACTCAACATCTATCGTCCTTCATGAAGAAGGACTTTTGGCCGAAGGATGTCATGTACCCGCGTTTCCGATGACGGTTACCGGACACCCACGTTGCGTCACACATGTCCATGCGTGTAAATAAATAAATAGTGATTATTAATACAAAGATCGAACACTCATAAAAGTTACGTATTTACGGGTCTGTGTAACTTGGTTATAAATAAATAAATAAAAAATTAAATTCCAAAACAATGTCTATGCTCAATGCCAATATTTAAACTGCCTCCGTGGTCGAACGGTTACCATGCCGGACTGCCATGCAGAGGTCCTGGGTTCGATTCCCAGGCCGGGAGAAATATGTGTATGGCCTACATTTATTTCTCTCGTGAGTTTGGGTGTAATTTGTGGTTGTCTATGTGCGTGTCCATGGCACCCGCGGCACAGGGTTTCCCTAGTGCGGGGCTATGTTGAGTGTGTGCGTTATTATTATTATTAATGCTCCCACAATTTAATTCCACTTCCTGCCTAAAATAAATTACTACGGCCATTTATATATTTCTTTTCATACGATTTTAAAATAAGCGAAAATGTTTGCTAAAGATATG